GCCGTATTGTCCGAGTTTCAATGGGCCAAGCAGCATTGAGGGTCAGACTCCTATCTGTTAATATTTATAGCGAAGATTTTAACTTACTGTTCCCACATTTTTCAAGCCAAGTTGTCTAAATGACTTTCATGGGTGTTGTTACTATTGCAGACGGGCCCCTCAAATTTGCCTATTCGGTCAACTTTTATTCGATATGTCTGCTGGTTGCGCTGATCTGTCCAGCCTAATCTACTGGTCCGATGCCGAAGTCAATCCGATTGGTCTATTGGTAACATACTCAGGTTCCACCGGAAATCGCCTCCTCTTTTGGCATTCTAGTCGTCAGGCGGCAGTGACTGAAGTTGCCGTGACAACACCTGTTTCTACAGCGGCCCCAGCAACACTAGCTACTGCTTCGACTATCTCGGTCTCCGAGCCACAGGCAGCCGCCCCATCATTGGGAGCGCCATCAGTTTCCAATGCGCACTTGGCCGGTCCTTCCAACGCTGTAGGAGCATCTTCTACATACGCCGGAATCACCACCATTATGACCAACTCAAGTTCAGGGTCTCACCCTGCCATTGGCGTTAGAAATCTGTCTGGCGGAATCGTTGGAACTGCTGCCTCTACTTGCCAGGAAAGGTACATCATACGGCTACAGTTGGCTATGTTTGGGCATGCATGTACCCCAAAAGGCCGTTCTCATTGAGATTGAACTGTCATTTGGGCCTTGTCTAGGTCTCATCAAAACTTTCAGCCTCATTAGAATCGAAGATGTGTATTAAAGAATAGACACATTACCACTTAAATTACTCTACTAGTCGCATTATGTCGCAAAACAAGTGTACTTTCAAGCAGGCCTCCCTTACCTTGCATTATTTTGTGGATAATTAGTACCTGTAGGCAAATGTCTGTTTGCCATCTAACCGATGCGCCAGTGATTTTTCCATAAATTTAGTTTTTTTCGTAGCTATTAAGAGCTTTGTGTTAAGGTGAAGAGGTATTTGTCCTGTTTTATTGCATTTAACAAATATCTAATTTAAATGGCTTCATTCTTTCAAGTTGAGTGCAACAACTCTGGAGGACTTGTTTTCTGATATATTGAGCATTTAACTAGCGAAGGCCTTGTGTGTTATGCTTATTAACGAAAAATTGTAGATTATTTTAGGCACAACTTAGGCATCTTTAGTTTGTCTTATGATCACTCTGTATGTAGCTCTTTACCTTCTGATACCTACCCACTAGCCCACTTTGGATTTAAAGCAACACCATAGTGCCTACTGGTAGATTTGTCATCTTTCACATGTAACTTGAACTTCTATTAGAATTCTCTTATCTATTAGTATTTAGTTGCATAATATATATTGCTTACACTCAGTTTATCCTTGTAATTTGTGTATGAAAACCTACAGTGCCCTCATGCGTCTCGGGATGGCTTCCAGTAGTTCCTTGCTTTCTGATGCCCCAGAAAAGGGTCCAGATTTCTCATCCTTGGTTCCTTCCGCTAATCCATATGCACTCTCTGTAAGTGTCAAACACAGAACACTTTTGCTTTTATCATTTTATCATGTTAGCGATTAAGCCATAAAGTTTATTTCAATTTATTTGCATTCATTCTATATTTTTGAATAATTATTTAATCATACTTATAGTTATTATGTCATATGATTAAGAATATCTCTAAAACTATCTGACGGGTAATAACATAGCTAAGCTATCCTCATGTTAACTAAATAGTTAAGAGATATCAATGCTGAGTCATATAAAACGATATCCAAAAATTTTCGCTTATCTTAGCCTCGGTTGATGCTTATATTTTTACTTATATCCCATATCTGTGTCTATACTTTCGCCAGTGTCGGAGTGGCTACTTCTTTTAATAATAAGACTATTCATTGCTCATAATTCGCATTTTTAACTTTGTCCTCAAGCCAGTATTCTAATTTTGATTATCTTATTGCTACACCCTTGCACAGCTGATTTTGAACAAGCCGACCTCTTCCATCCTAGCCAATCTGAATCCTACTTCCGGTGGGGCTTTATTTGGAAGTGGTGGTGGAATTACTGCAATTACAGGCCTCGTGCCAGGTAACCCAAGCATTCCTTCGGTCTGCCCTACACCCTACCCATCAAGCCATCAAAGTCACTCCACTTCGACACCTGCTGCAATTCTGACGACATACTCCTCGCAGCAGCATGGCCCCACAGATTCTGCATCCGTGGTCCCACCTGCTGGGATGCTGATTGGGTTTCCCGGGGAATCACACGCATCGGTGCATCTACTGAACCACCAACACCATCATACCCACAACCCCCAACCACATCCAGTGGGAGTAGAAACCAAAGTTGCATCTCCTTTTGGCCAGACTGGTCGCTCAGACCGAGAGCGTGACTGGGAACGCGAACGAGAGCGAGATCGAGATCAACACCGGAATCGCGACCGTGTCCGCCCACCCATACGCCACACTCTTCGACCCGAGGAAAGTTTGCCGGCCAGTGCTCTGCTTAGTCTGCTGCATTCCTGCTCCAATCAGGTTCAAAAGAAGATTTTTCTCAAGGTAACTGGTATCGCCAATCCAAAATTAGCCATTTTCCCTAAATTTAATGATATCCTATCGATAAAAATAGGGGAGATAGGAAGTTAAAAAGTTATATTGTCATGGTCTGGTAAGCCTCTGGCACTTCTCCGAATTAGAATTT